AAAGTGATTTAGGGTCCCAGCCTTAAAGAATTTACTCTTAGTATGTATTACTTTTATTTTGAGACAGGGTCTTGTAGTGTAGGATGGCCTAGAATAAATTGTGCAATCTAGACTGGCCTCAAACATGGAGTCCCAGGACCTGAACAAAACATCGTGACCTAGTCTAGGGATCAGGAGCTATAGTTTTACCTGCTAGCTGATTTTCTTACTAGCTGAGCCCTGTTCGGGTCTGGGAAGCAGACTGCACAGGTTAGCTCTGTGGGTCACAGGGATAGTTCCATCAAAACCTGGAGTAGCAGAGCGAGGGGTACTAGATAAAGACAGGCTGCTTAACAAAGAACTTTGATTCTGGGTCAGGGAGATGGACCAGTTAATAAAGTGTCTGCCTGCACCTACCCCACCCTCAAAGCATGAGGGCCTGAGGTAGGATCTCCAGTATCCACATAGAGGCCAGTTTAGGGTCTTCTTCTAACCCCAGTGCTGGGGGTAGCCTAACAGGCAGATCTCTGGAGTTCATTGGCCAGCTAGTCTAGCCAATCATCAAGCTCCAGGTTCAGTGAGAGACTCTGTCTCAAAAAACGAAAAAATGTCAGGCATGGTGGTGTACACCTTTAATCTCGCACTTGGGAGGCAGAGGCAAGCACATCTCTGTGATTTCAAGGCCAGGCTGGTCTACAAAGCAAGTTCCAGGACAGCCAGGGTTACATAGAGTGACCCTGTCTCAGAAAAAAAAAATGGAGGACATCGAGCAAGACACTCCAAGTCAACCTCTGGCTTCTACACGAACCAACACACACATACACTCGAATTAAAGATTTGGTCCTGCTTATCCCATCATGTCTTACTTTTCTAGATCCCAGAGACAAAATTGACATTGGACTGCCCCCATCTCGGGTCATTCGGACTCAACAGCTACAGGATCGGAAACATTTTATAAGGGAGCTTCGAGCCAACATAGAAGAAGAGCGGGCAGCCCGCCTCCGCACAGGTGAGCCTCCCAGAAGAGGGGCCCCAGGTGCACACTCCCCACTGTATCCAAACTGTGCTGTTCCTCCCCAGCCAGCATCTCACTGGAGGCAGTGCGGGCCGAGTGGGAGAGAACCTGCGGTCCCTACCACAAGCAGCGTCTGGCCGAGTATTATGGCCTCTACCAAGACCTGTTCCACGGTGCCACTTTTGTGCCCAGGGTCCCCCTTCACGTGGCCTATGCTGTGGGAGAAGAGGACCTGGTCCCAGTGTATCATGGCAATGAAGTGACTCCAACCGAGGTAATAATTGTTGTGCTTCTCCATGCTCTGTGTGTGGATGGGCACACGCATTGTGGCATCACAGTGTCTGGGTTTGAAGTTTTGTTACTCTGTGTCTTTGATTTCCTGGAAATAAACATCATGAAAGTCACAGGAATAAGATAAAGAGAAGTGCCATCTATGCCTGTTCTGTGAGCAGCTGCTGTCTTTGGAGTGGCCTCCATGTCTCTTGGCACATGGTCCTTATAGTTCAGATCTCAGGATGAACAGCTATTGGTGAAATTATTATGGCCACTCCACGTAGTTAAAAGGGAGGTTTATTTTGTGGGGTAACTTACAAGGGAAGGGATAGGTTACAAGGTCTGGGAAAGGTGTGGCGCAGTCTGGCGGTGTTCTCTGGAGAACTCTGCTCGGTCTACCTCCAGCGTCCAGGGTCCGGGAACCAAGAGAGATGGCGCATCCTGATCTCGGGTCTTCAGGGTCCTCTCTTGGCCCCGCCTTGTAGGCGTGACAGTTACCTATGCCTCAATGGGGGTTGGAACTTCCAGATCAAAGCTGGAATGGCTACCCACTACCAACAGCGGGCAGTTTATAAACATCTCTTTCTCTGTCGATGTCTGAGGACCTGTCAGGGGTCCTGGTTTGAGTCAGCGTGGGTACTCCCTTCCACAGTGCCCCGCAGACTCCAGCCCTCTATAGAGAAACCTGGTGAGGGTGAGTGCTCCCTTGATCTCTCGCTGCTAGGCTTCCCAGGCCCCAGAGGTGACCTATGAGGCAGACAAGGATTCCTTGTGGACACTACTACTTACCAACTTGGGTAGGTGTCAGGGGCCACCTGGCCTCCAGCCTCCCTTCCCTGAGCCAAGAACCCGGGGATCTGGGCAGGTAGCACACTCCAGCCCTGGCTCCTTTGAAATGAGGGTCTCTCCGTGTTTCTGTGCAGATGGACACCTGCTGGAGCCAGATGCCGAGTATGTTCATTGGCTGCTGTGAGTATCTGGGTGGGAAGCCAGCCAGGGGATTCCAGGAGGCCCTGGAAATGTTGGACCTAGGATTCAAGTATGTACTTAACACAAGTACAGGAGAAAATGGCAGAAGCCAGGTGTGGTGACACAGCCTTTAATCCTAGCACCCTGGAGGCATAGGCAAGCAGATCTCTCTGTGATTTTGACATTACGTAATGAGACCCTTTCTCAAAAAAAAAAAAAAAAGATGCAGTAGGCCCTGCCAGTCCTCACAAGCATCTGTGTTGCTCTGAGCTATTTTCTGTCCTATGAAACTGGAGATGTCGCCATGTGTTTTACCCACCCGGGGGTGCTGTAACGGTCAGCTCTTCATGGCAGCACTCTTTAGACACTCAGCCCACAGGTGTTTCCGCCCTGAGCAGTCTGTGTTGGGCTTCGGCTCTGAGCACAGGCCTGGGCAGAAGTCATGCAGTGCCCTGAGCTTTGGCAATCCCTCTGTAATGGAAACCAGGAACTGGGAAGCTGGCTTCTGCCTTGCCTGTCACTGCTCCCCGACTGCAGTTTAGCAGGGCTTTCTGGAGGGTTGTGTCTGGGCAGGGGATACAGTGGCTACCACAGCATCAGGCTGGGAAACTGCCTGACATGACCCTAGGGCATGGAAGGAAAAGCTGCCCAAAGGTGGTGTGGCTTCCTGACCTGAATGATGGGCAGATGCCCTGGTTCCCATCCTTGAGTAAACCAGCTGCTTCATTTTGTCACTGCTGTGGGGTTTTTGTTTTGTTTTGTTTTGCTTTTTGCAGAAGACTCCAAACTTAGTCTTTTATCTTTTTAGATTTATTAATTTTATTATTTCATGTGTGTGAGTGATTTCTTTCTTATTTATTTTGTTGTTTCAGGACAGGGTCTCTCTGTGTAGCCTTAGCTGTTCTGTAGACCAGGCTGGCTTTGAACTCATACAGATCCACCTGCCTCTGCCTCTTGAGTGTTGGGATTAAAGGCGTGTGCCACCACACTGCAAGCATTTTTATATGTGCACCACATGCATGCCTGATGCCTGTGTGCTGGAGATGTCTTTCTGTATGCTGTGAATGTGTTTCTCTGATTGATTGATAAATAAAACGCTGATTGGCCAGTAGCCAGGCAGGAAGTATAGTATAGGCGGGACAAGCAGAGAGGAGAATTCTGGGAAGAGGAAGTCTGAGTTGGGAGATGCCGCCGATATGAGGAACAAGATGTAAAGTACTGTAAGCCGCAAGCCATGTGGCAAGGTATAGATTAATAGAAATGGGTTAATTTAAGATATAAGAACTAGATAACAAGAAGCCTGCCACAGCCATACAGTTTATAAGTAATTAAGTCTCTGTGTGTTTACTTGGGTCTGAGCAGCTGCAGGCCCGAGCGGGACTGGAGAAAACTCCAGCTACACCTATGGCTTTGGATTCCCTGGGAGTTACAGATGGTTTTCAGCTTCCATGTGGAAGCTGGAAATCGAACCTGGGTCCTCTGGCAAAGCAGTCAGTACTCCTAACCATTGAGCCATCTCTCCATCCCCTCTGATTTCTGAACCACTTGTGCTCCCTAATAATATTTGCAGCATGTCCCTGAGGTCCTGGAGGTCAGCATGCTAGAGACTATTCAGGGTCTGGCCCCTGAGGTGACTCTGCTTCTAGGGTGTAATACTCCTGCCACCTCACTGGCCTGGTAGTTAATGGGTACTTTCCTCCCCTCTGACCAGGACCAACATCCCAAGCAACAGGGTGGCTGAAGGACAGGAGACATGTCCCTACCTCCCCCCCTTCCCTGCTCGAGGCTCTGGCTTCCACCGCTTTGTCTTCTTGCTCTTCAAGCAAGACAAGCCAATCAACTTCTCTGAGGACACCCGACCCTCGCCCTGGTAATTTACACCCCTACTTGGACCCTGAGCCCCAAGCCAGCTCTCTGGGATGGTAGCTCTTGCTTCTTCCTCCTCTTGGTATAGGCCTTGAGATTGGCAGAAGTTCGGCAGGCTGGGTGGACTCCAGGGGCTTCCCAGGATTGCCTGGAGTGCTCCCTCCCACTCTCAGATGCTGTCCATCTTGTCACAGCTACCAGCTGGCCCAGCGGACCTTCCGCACTTTTGATTTCTACAAGAAACACCAGGAAGCCATGACTCCAGCTGGCCTAGCTTTCTTCCAGTGCCGCTGGGATGACTCAGTCACCCACACCTTCCATCAGCTTTTAGGTAAGGGTATTTTAGGGCTTGGTGGTCTGGCAGGCCTGAAGGCGAAAGCCTCTCCTGCCTTGACTTTGGAAGCCAGGGTGGGCAGTTCCTGGCAGGAGTTACCCCATCCCTTTACTTTTCTTGTAGACATGCGGGAACCTGTGTTTGAATTTGTGCGACCACCCCCTTACCACCCCAAACAGAAGCGCTTCCCTCACCAGCAGCCCCTACGCTATCTGGATCGATACAGGGACAGTCATGAGCCCACTTATGGAATCTACTGAGAGGCAGAATCCATTCATCTTAGAGGGTGAGCTGGCCCAGCCGGAAGAAGGTCGCACCTCATGAGAACCAAGCCATCTGGAGCCCTGTCTGAGACAGTCCCTTGCAGGGCCTCTCCCATCCTGCCCAGGGGCTTGCTCGAAGGTGCTTCGATTATGTGTGAATAAAGTAATTTTTCCTCATGCCAATACCAGAACCCCCTCTAGTGAAACTAGTGCCCCGTGGGTGAGAAGAGGGCACCATGCAGCCTGGGAGCTGGAGATAACACAAGGGAAGGGAAGCTTTACCTATCCTATAAGTTTTTGAAAGAGACGCCCTGGGTATCAGAACCTATTCCTGCCCCTGGGCTGGGGACCCTGTCAGACCTAGCAACAGCTGGTTTGGGACCTTCGCATAATTTCAGCTCCAGCCAAGGCCTCGAACCCCCACTGTGTGGCTAGATGTCTAAAGGAGACCTAGCAGCAAGTCGGTTCTACCTGCATGGTTAGAAAGATGTCAACTCTGATTCACATTGCCCAGGGAGGCCCTGGGACCCCTATCTGCCCTGCTGGGCTGCAGAGGAAATGATAGTTACCCTATGAATGGGATGCAAAAGCAGCTGGGAGACCAGGAACTTGCCCAACAAAGGTTGAGCTGGTGGCTTAGAGGACCCTTGAAGAGGAACAAGTGTTCTCTTCACATAGCTGGAAAGACTTCAGAGGCCACAAGGGGCTGCAATAGTGAGACCTCATCAGATAAGGAGTGAGGGGGTCTCAGCTGGTGTGGTGGTGGTGCACACCTTCGGGAGGCAGAGGCAGGCAGATCCCAGCCTGGTCTACAGAGTTCCGGGATAGCCAGGGCTACACAGAAAAACTTTGTCTTGAAAAAAACAAAAAACAACAACAAAAAGAGAATAAGGGGTCTCTGAAAAAAGGTTAAATGGGTTTTAATGACCAGAAATTTCCATATCTTTGGGTTTGTTTTTGTTTTTTGTTTTGTTTTTTTTTTTTTGGTTTTTCGAGACAGGGTTTCTCTGTGTAGCTTTGGCACCTTTCCTGGAACTCACTTTGTAGACCAGGCTGGCCTCGAACTCACAGAGATCCGCCTGCCTCTGCCTCCCAAGTGCTGAGATTAAAGGCGTGTGCTACCACCGCCTGGCTATATCATTGTCTTAAAAGAACCAAAATTATACATTTCCCAGAGAAGGGAGATACCCCAGTGCCTAAAATCCTGTTCCAGCAAAAAAACATGGGGCCTGGGGTCAGGAGCTTTTACCAAGTGTTACCAAGCTCCGTACTGGATGACTCAATCAGTTTCATTTACTGGCCAAGAAAACACCCCCAGAGATGGTATCTCAAGATGGCCCTGGGCCCAGTGGGGTTCCAAGCCTCGGTCCCTTGAAGGTAAGGCTAGATCCTCAGGAGGATCAGGAAAAGCAACAAGGAGGTGCCAGAGTGGGACCCACGGGAGCCGCACCCCAGCTCCCAGCGCGTCAGAAGGCGGGCAAGGGTGGCTTGGATCCCTGCCAAGGAAGGTTCTAGGCCAACCAACCGAGAGCAGCAGCGCCTGTGATGTTTGGCACACTGCCGTGTCTTTCTGGGCTGTCCTCCCTCCCGCATCAGTCGCACCGGTAGCCTCCGTCCCTTTAAGAAGTCTGTGCCTCTTGGCCTCACTTCCGCCATGGCCGCTCAGCTGGTGGAGGACCAAGTGACCTGCTCCATCTGCCTGGATCGCTACCGCGACCCGGTGACGCTGCCTTGCGGGCACAGCTTCTGCGGAGGCTGCATGCAGGACTCATGGCGCTGCTGGGAGAAGACATGCCCCGAGTGTCGCCAGCCCTTCCCCGAGGGCGCCAAGCTGTGCCGCAGCGTGACACTGAGCGCCTTGCTGCAGACGCTGCCTCTCGATCTGCAGGCGCAGGCGGCCGCCATCCCGCGCCCGGAGCCCGGCGCCGGCCACAGCGCACGCTGCCCGCGCCACGGGAGGCCGCTCGAGTTCTTCTGCCTCACCGATGGCCTCTGCGTATGCAGCGCTTGCACAGTGCACGAGTGCCGCCACCACGAGCGGGCGCTGCTGGACGTGGAGCGCCGCGTTCGAGAGGTGAGGGATGGGGCCTTCCGGAAGTCGGGGGACTGCTCGAGGCCAGAGACTGGGGCTGCAGCAGGAGGCTGCCGGGTTCCAGTATGAACCCAGAGTGCCTATGCATCTGAATGTGGCACCCAGCCCTCCCCACGTCCTCTGAATGAAGTAGACCCAGAGTGTTAGGCCAAGGCTGGCAGCCCCATTTGCTGCCCTGGCCAGCATTCAGTAAGTGCGCATGCACGCAGCATAGTATGGAAGGAGGGCTGTGTAGAGCAAATCAGTCATCTGTGCTTTCTGCTCTTCAGAGACGGAGGGTCAGATAGTGTCGTGGCAAAACCTGAGTGTTCCCTTCTATAGAGACAGCAGGGCCACCCTGCTTAAGAGGAGGAGAGAGAGGTGATCTTTGGGTGACTCCTCAGGGGAGAGGAAGTGCCAACCAGAAAAAGAGGAGTGGGGATGGAGTGCGAAGAGCTGGAAGGCTGGCCTGTTCACTGAGATGATGGCAGGAGGCAGGTCCCTGAGGATCTCCAAACAGGCTTTCCAGGTCGTGGGGGACCAGACCATGGGGTGGTGATGAGGAGCTGACTCTTCCTCTAGGGATGTGCAGGGCCTTAACTTGAGACAAGAAAGGGACTTTCAGAGGTTTGGAGGGTGAGCCCTGGAGCTGCTGAAGCCCCAGAGAGGAGGCTGAGACACAGCTGGTGGTCCAAGTGTGGGAGACCAAGCTGGGCACAAAGGTTTGCAGGGAGGTTAAAAGCTCTCATCAAGGAGGACGCTTCAGCCAGATGGCTCGTGCTGGGGGGGACGGGACGGGACGGGATTTTGCTTGAGAGGACTGAGGCACAGGAAGTTCAAGGGCCAGCTAACCTGGCATACACAGTGGCAAGGGAGCCTGTCTCAAGGCAGAAGGCAAGGGCTGAGACACCCAAGATTACCTCTGGCCTTCACACATGCAGTGTGGCATTCATCCATTTGTCTACACTTACATAAACTTTACATAAAATTTTGTTTTTTTCGAGACAAGGTTTCTCTGTATAGCTCTGGCTGTCCTGGAACTTGGTTTGTAGACCAGGCTGACCTCGAACTCACAGAGATCCACCTGCCTCTGCCTCCCAAGTGCTGGGACTAAAGGCATTCGTCACCACCACCTGGCTACATAAAAATCTTTATTTGTGCCAGGCGGTAGTGGCACACGCCTTTAATCCCAGCACTCGGGAGGCAGAGCCAGGCGTATCTCTGTGAGTTCAAGGCCAGCCTGCTCTACAGAGTGAGATCCAGTACAGGCACCAAAAGTACACAGAGAAACCCTATCTCGAAAAACCAAACCAAACCAAACTAAACCAAAACAAAACAAACCAAAACCAAAAAAAAAAAAAGAAAAAGAAAAAAAACCTCTTTATTTGTAAGATTAAAAATAAATAAATTAGCTGGCATGGTGGTGGCACATGCTTTTCATTCCAGCATTCTAAAGGCAGAAGTAGGCAGGTCTCTGTTGAGTTCAAGATCTACTTAGCAAGTTCCAGGCCAGCCAGGGCTATATAGTGAGACCCTGTCTCAAAGCAGCGGTGATAGGATGTTGGAAGGAGTAAGAGCAGGTGGTGAGACTCTTAGCCAGGCATTACACCAGCTCAGAGCACCAGCACGGTGTCTCTAGCTCCTGTGACAGCACCTTTTGGTCCCCAAGGGAAACAACTCAACCAAATAGTGGGGTCCTGTCTTCCCTTTGGGCTCTTCTGCGCTCAGGCGACTCTGGCCATCTCCCTTTCTGTCCCAGACTCTGTAAGCCAGAGTTACTGCTCTGTTTGATGCCTGGAGTCGGGGTGGGGTGGACTATGGACCTGAGAAGGCGGGAGAGGAGCTCTGCTCAGGTCACTCAACCTGCAGGAAGTGCGAGTGGGACCGGAAGCCGGGTCTTCAACCCAAGACTTCCGCATCCCTCGTATGCATCCCTGCTCCATGCAGGGAACGGTCCCTGTCCGGGCCTCCCTGGGACTCTGACCTAGTTCTAGGATGTTAAGGGGGCAGTCTACCCTGAGTGGCAGGATAGTGCCTAGGATCCGTGTGGACGGTGGTGGTGTGAGGTAAGCTTTATCAATCCTGGCCTTCTCTTGTTGCTCACCCTCTGGATGGGGGCCACAGGACCAACTGAAAGCTAGAGCGGCGGTTGCCCGGCAACAGGTCACCCAGGCTGAGACCCAGCTTCAGGAGCTGCAGCAGCAGAGCAGCCAGATCGAGGTACTTCCCATGTCCTCATGCTGTTCCCTACCATCTGCTCCCTGGGCTGCTTCTAAATGCCTCCCAGCAGCAGGGAGTGGGAAGCTGAGCCAGAAACCAGGCCCCAGCGGGGAGGAGGTTCCAGGGCTCTGACTCCCTGTGTCCCATCCTTCAAGCCAGTGGGCGACTGAGGACTTAGCCTACCTTGCCATAGTGCCAAGACTGGCCACCCTGAGGTTCCTCCTGTGCCCACACAGAGTTCAGCCTGCACCCTGACCTCAGTGGTCTCCAGCAGATTCAGCAGCCTGCTACAGGCGCTGGAGAAGCTGCGGGCCTTGACACTGAGGAACATAGAGGTAGCCAAGAAGCGGGCTCTGGACCAGGCTCTGAGTGAGATACAGCGGCTAACCGACCACCTGGAGGTCCTGTCCCAGTATGACCACAGTGTCCAGGGTCTCCTGGGGCAAGTGGATGACTCCATCTTCTTCCAGGTACCAGATCTCAGGGCAGTGGGCTAGGGCCTTGCTTCCCTGCCTTGCACCCCACTCTCTGACACTGTCCCTGGGGTTCAGGAATTACAGCAGCTCTCTGAGCCTGTGGAGTCTCAGGGGCCACTGACCGCTCCACAGTGGGATGAAGAGCAGCAGCTGAACAGCGTGAATGAGATGCTTGGCCCACTATGTGAACTCCTCCTTGAAGAGAAGCCCCCCAGGGTGGCAGGCAAAGCTGACCCTGTGGGTAAGGCTGACTTCTCCTTGCCCTCTGGGTCCAACCCCCCCCACACACACTAGTGGGTAGAAGTGGGGAGTCAGGGATCATCCCCATACACTCCCTGATTCTGCTTTGTTCTTTAGAAGCCTTGGGTCCCCCGCCACCAGTCCCCAGCACCGTGTGTCCACTGAGGAAGAAACTCTGGCAGAGTAAGGAGACCCGATGCCTGTGTGTGTACATGTGCATGGGTACACCTTTGTGTGCATGTGAGAGCATGTGTACACTTGCATATGCCTGTGTATGTATGGGGTGAGGGACCTGCTCTGACTGTCCTGTCCATGGTCCTTCCTGGGCCAGGCTCCACCTCTGCACACCTGTTACAGGATGTGAACCTTGTCCACATCCACCCTGAGGCAGATGCAGTCGGAATAGTGTTAAAGGGCAGATTCTGACCACCTGGATCTGGGGTCCATCACAGTTCTCCCACTTAATACTATGTGAACTTAACTCTCTGAGCCTCAGTTTCCCCTCTTATAAAGCTCAGAGGTAGCAATGAGCAACTCCCTAGTATGCTGATGCCTGGTAGACATTTGAACTGTCCATAGATGGAGCCCCAGTAACTCTATGCTTTAGGGGGAAAATGACACCTTTGCCACCTCTGGTCAACTCTTTCCAACAGATTATCGCAACCTGACCTTTGACCCGGACACTGCCAACCAGTACTTGTACTTGTCCCACAAGGACCAGCAGGTGACACACCATTTCCAGGCCCAGGGCCCAGCCAGGCCAGGCAGCTTCGAGCTGTGGCAGGTGCAGTGTGCCCAGAGTTTTCAGACTGGACAACACTACTGGGAGGTACGCGCCTCTGATCACTCTGTGACGTTGGGCATCACCTACCCAAACCTATCACGCCGAAAGGTGGGGACCCACACGGACAACATCGGCCGTGGGCCTTCCTCCTGGGGCCTTTCCATCCAGGAGGACAGTATCCAGGCCTGGCACAATGGCAAGGCCCAGCGCCTGCATGGGGTGCCTGGACGTCTCCTGGGCATCGATTTGAACTTGACCTCTGGCTACCTCACCTTCTACAGCCTCGAGCCACAGACACAGCGGCTGCATACCTTCCATGCAGTTTTCAGCCAGCCTCTCTTCCCAGTCTTCTGGCTCCTTGAGGGGAGGACCCTTACTCTTTGCCATCAGCCTGAGGCCAAGCCCCCTCCAGGGCCCAGGGAAGAGGCCTCAGCACTCATCTGAGGGAGGCACAGATAGGTGCCGCCATGCCTGTGTGCCCAAGGGTGGCTCAGCCTTTGACTTGGAGACTGAAGGCCACCATTCTAAAAGGAATAGCTGTTGGCTGCTGTGGGATGATGGTCTTTCTGTATGCTGTGAATATGTATTGCTACCATTGCTTAATAAATAAATTGCTTTGGCCCATGGCAAGGCAGCTCAGAGGCCGGCGGGAAATCCAAGCAGAGGTACAAGGAAGGAGAAAGGCAGGATTGGGAGGAGATGCTGAGAGCCGCCAGGGGAAGCAAGATGTGATACAACACAGGTAAAGCCACCAGACATGTGGCGATACATAGGTTAATAGAAATGGGTAAGAAAAGATGTAAGAGCTAGCTAGCAAGAAGCCTGAGCCATAGACCAAACAGTTTGTAATTAATACATAAGCTTCTGAGTAATTATTTTATAAATGGCTGCAGGACGGTGGGTGGGAGAGATTTGACTGGACTGCGGGCCCAGGCCAGACCAAGAAACTTGCCCCTGCAGTTGGTCTCTCTGTTGACTCCGAGGAGAGAGATGAGAGGGGAGCCCTAAATCAGTTTACTTTTTACTCTCTTTGAAGGGGACAGGGACTGGAAAAAATTAATAGGATGCCCCAGCCCCAAGCAAAAGCCAAGTTCTTGGCATTGCCTAGACATCTATCTTAGCCACTATTGCTGTGAAGAGACACCATAACCACGGCCACTCTTACAATAAAAGAAAACATTTAACTGGGGTCTTGCTTACAGTTTTAGAAGATTAATCCATGATTATCATGACAGGAAGCAGACAGGCATGGTGCTGGAGCAGTAGCTGAGAACTTTACATCCTGATCCACAGGCACCAGGCAGAGAGAAAGAGAGAGAGAGAGAGAGAGAGAGAGAGAGAGAGAGAGAGAGAGAGAGAGAGAAAGAGGGAGGGAGGGAGGGAGGGAGGGAGGGAGGGAGAGAGAGAGAGAGAGAAGACAGTGAAACAGAGAGACACTGAATCTGGCATGGAATTTTGAAACCTCAAAGCCCACCCCAAGGACACCCTTCCTCCAACAAGGCCACACCTCCTAATCCTTCCCAAACTATTCCACCAGCTGGGGACCAAGCACAAGTGTGGAAAGCAGATGTGGTGACATCAGGGTGTAGGTGCTGCAGCTGTGAGCAGCTTGCTCTTGCTCTTCCAGAACATGCTTCCATGAGGGTCCTGGGGTGGTCTTTTGCTCACATTTCTGGAAGTAGAATTTTTTTTTGTACAGGAGCTAGAACCTGGAGTGTTTTGAATGCTATAAACAAGAGCTCCTCCCTTGGCCAGGCATGGTGGCTCACACCTTTAATCCCAACACTCAGGAGGCAAAGGCAGGCAGATCTCTGTGAGTGGCCAGCCTGGTCTACAGAGTGAGTTCTAGGACAGCCAGGGCTGGCTGTTATACAGAGAAACCCTGTCTCAAATTAAAAAAAAAAAAAAAAAAAAAAAGAGTCCCTCCCTCTCTCGCTGACAGTGTCCTCAGCCTGGTATAATTTCCTTACTTGAGATGCGCCATGTTCTGGCCTTGGTGTTTACAAGGATGTCTACTTTTGTAACTTCTTTTTCTTTTCTTCTGTAATTCCTTAAGCATTTGTCTGTTTTATATGCTCATGGGTAAACATTGCCCAATAAAGGATTTTAGAAATGCTTTTCTCTTTAGTTAGTGTGCAGCTGGCGGCGGGGTGGCTGCTGTGTGTGGACTGTCCGTGCAGAGGTCAGAGGATGAAGTACAGGGTTGGTCTCTCTCTCTACCATGTGGATCTGGGGATGGAGCTCAGACTGTCAGGTTGGCCTTAAGCACATTTGCCTGCTGAGTTATCCCAGCAGCCCACAGTAACAGTTTGTTGTTGTTGCTGTTGTTGGAGATGGGGTATCACTGTGTAACGCTGGCTGGCTTAGAACTCACTATGTTGACCAGGCTAGCCTCCAACTCACAAAGATCTGCCTGCCTCTGCCTTCTGAGTGCAGGAATTAAAGGCATGAACCACCATCACTGGCCTATAGCAGTTTTTAAAGGGTAATATGTGTAATAATGTATACACTAGGAAAGATAATTATTTTATAGAAATGTTTAAGCATTTTTCTTTAAAAATCTTTATGGCCGGGCAGTGATGGCACATGCCTTTGATCCCAGCACTCGGGAGGCAGAGGCAGGAGGATCTCTGTGAGTTTGAGGCCAGCCTGGTCTACAGAGTGAGTTCCAGGACAGGCTTCAAAGCTACACAGAGAAACCCTGTCTCAGAAAAAACAAACAAACAAACAAAAACTTTATGTGTGTATTTCCTACATGTACTATGAGCAATGCACAAGGAGGCCAGAATAGGGTGTCCGATCTCCTGGAACTTGAGTTACAGACCATTGTGAGCCTCCATGTGGGTGCTGGGAACTATACCTGGGTCCTCTGCAAGAGCAGCAAGTGTTCCTAACCACTGAGCCATCTTTCCAGCCCTGAGACAGTCTTGCTATGTAACCTAGCTGGCTGGAAGTTCCTAGGAAGCCCAGTGTGGCTTCAAACCCACTGAAGTCCAGGCACCCTCCTGCCTCTACCTCCCAAGTACTGCAAATTATAGGCGTGTCCCACCCACCCAACATGGCTAGACTGTTTCTGGCCTGTTTTTGTTTCTGTTTGACTTTTTTTTTTGTGAGATGAGGGGTTGAGATTGGGTCTTTTTTTTTTTTTTTTTTTGGTTTTTCGAGACAGGGTTTTTCTGTGTAGCTTTGCGCCTCTCCTGGAACTCACTTGGTAGCCCAGGCTGGCCTCGAACTCACAGAGATCCGCCTGGCTCTGCCTCCCGAGTGCTGGGATTAAAGGCGTGCACCACCACCGCCCGGCCGAGATTGGGTCTTAATCTATGGCCCAGACTGGTCTGGAACTTGCAGTGTCCCCAGGCTGGCCTCAGGCTGGTGGCAATCCTCCTGCTTAACCTCCCAAGTGTTAGGATTACAGGCATGAACTGTGAGCCACCATACCTGCCGGGTCTTGCTGTGGCTGCTGTTTCTGACTCAGTACTGCGGCAGCCACACTCCCATAAGGTTAGAGTTATTCAGGCTGCACTTGTCCCATTTCCCCTGCACGGCTGGCCATGAGGTGTGTTATGGGGGTTTCCATTTGTCTCCCTTCTGGACAGAGTCCTAAGGACGGTAGGAGAGGCAGGTGTGAGCACATTCTTACATCGCTCTGAAGTAATTTTGTCTGTGCCATTAATGACAAATTGTCTATACACTCAGCTACTGAAAAGGCCGAGGCAGGAGATTGCCTGAACTCATTATTTCCAGACCAGCCTGGCAACACAGTGAGACCCCATCTTTAAGTAAATATGACAGCCTCAACCTTGGACATCGTAACTATGGCTCTAGCACTGGGCTACACAACTGACACATGTTGTATTTGGGAGGAGGGTGTTGGCACAGGATCCCACTGTGTGGCCCTGACTGATCTGGAACTTGATTTGTACACTAGGCTAGCCTTGAACTCACAGAGGCCTGTCTGCCTCTGTCTCCCAAATGCTGGGATTAATGGTGTGCGCTATCACACCTAGACTACTTGCTACTTTTTTTTTTTTTTTTTTTTGGGAGAGCCTTACAAAGCCCAGGCTGACCCAGAACTGGCTATGTAGCCAGAGATGACCTTGGGCTACCGTTCCTGCTTGCACCTCCCGTGGGCTGCTGCTGGGATTACTAGTGTTCATTACCATGAGCAGCCATCTCTGTGTGAACACAATATGCAAAGAACTGAGAGGAACTGTCATTTTCAGATGAATTCTCTTTTCATTGTCCTCTAGTGTGCCAATGATTTGCAATAATCAAGTTCTTTAATAAATCTCAACTGGGGCCAAAAAGATGTCTCAGCAGTTAAAAGCACTGGCTGCTCTTCCAGAGGATCCGGTTCAATTCCCAGCACCCACATGGGCACTCACACTGCCTGTAGCTCTCGTTCCAGAGGGTCTGACACCCCTTTCTGAACTCCATGGGCACAAACCACACATGTAGTGCCCAGACATACATTCAGGCAAAAAAAAATGTTCATAGAAATAAAATAAATCTAAAAAATTTAAGATGGGCTAGTGAGATGGTTCAGAGGTTGGAAGCACTGGCTGCTCTTCCAGAGGTCCGGAGTTCAATTCCCATAAACCATGTGACTCACAACCATCTATAATGAGATCTGGTGCCCTCTTCTGGCCTGCAGGCATATATGCAGGCAGAACACTGTATACATAATAAATAAATCTTTAAAAAAATTTAAGACAGCTGGGTGGTGGTGGTGCACACCTTTAATCCCAGCACTCAGGTGGCAGAGCCAGGCGGATCTCTGTGAGTTTGAGGCCAGCCTGGTCTACAGAGCGAGTTCCAGGACAGGCACCAAAGCTACACAGAGAAACCCTGTCTCAAAAAACAAAACAAACAAACAAACAAAAATTTAAAACAGTTTAAAAAGGAAAGCTTCAACTGCTCAGAATCTCAAAGGAAACAGAGAGGATCTATTCCTCTTTCAATAGATTACTCCAGCCAGGTGGTGATGGTGGCACACGACTTTAATGCCAGCACTCAGGAGGCAGAGGCTGGTGGATCTGTGAGTTCGAGGCCAGCCTGGTCTACAGAGCAAGTTCCAGGACAGACAGGGCTGTTACACAGAGAAACCTTGTCTTGAAATAAATAAATAAATAAATAAATAAATAAATAAATAAATAAATAAATAATAATAATAATAATAATAAATAATAATAATAATAAATAATTAATAAATAAATAAATAAATAAAAAATACAAACAAAAAGATAACTTACAAAAGCCACATTAACAAATACACCAAAGCTCAAGAGCTTTATTTCTTCTATTTCCATGTGTGTGGTGTGTGGGCACACATATGTGGGTGCACATTGCATGTGGAGGCACAATCTTCCACTTTACTCACTGAGACAGGGTCTCTAAATCAATCCCAGAGTGCACAGATATACCTAGTCTGGAGGGACATCCCTTGTCTCCACCTCCCACACCCACCCAGCATTGACTTGGGTTCTGTGGGTGAGAACTTTGGTCCTCATGGTTATACCACAGCACTTTAACCACTGGGCGATCTCTCCAGCACCTAAAACTTGGAGAAGGAGAAAGAAATTCCCTTATTTTCTGTGTATGGATGTTTTTCTTGCTTGTATGTCTATGCACCATGTTTGTGCAATGCCCAAAGAAGCCAGAAGAGGGCGTCTAAGCCATGTGGGTGCCAGGAATAAAACCTGGGGAACTCTTGAAGAGCATTCAGTGCTTTTAACTGCTGAACCATCTCCCCAGGCCCTAAAACTTTTAAAGTATATTTAATAACATCTACCTTGGGCCAGCAAGATGCTTCAGTGGGTATAAGTTCTTGCCATGCAAGTCTGAAGACTTGAGTTCAATC